AAGAAAGCTGTCTCTGGTGTGGATCAATCAGTTTCAAGGTCAATGCATATATTATCAGTGTGTTTTTTTTACATTTTGACTGCAAGTATTGTTGTTAATGCAGGCATGAATCCTTGTAAAAAGGCTTCAGTTTTGTTGCCAGAAAAAAGGGGAAAACCCTATTATTATACGTTTACCGTATAGTTTAGTTTAGGATGCGTTCCTAAAATGCGCGATGAGTGTCCAAACGACGTAAATCAAAGCAATTTTTCAAAGTCACAAAATTGCTGTACACAAACGAGTATATTGTAGTCTACACTATACAATAAACATAAACCATCTTTATGCGCGACACAAAGCACAGAGTTGGTCGTTGAGGCGAAGGCTGAAGCGACGGATACGCGAACGGACGGGCGATGATGCTGTCAGCGACGTAAGTGTGGGGGTTGAGGCGACGCAAATTAGGTGTTAATAAAGTGAGGACGTATTTGCGAAACGACGTAAACGTGGGGGGAGGGGGTGGAGACGTAATCCGGGGAAGTACTCACAGCGATTGTACAACACATCCGGTGATGGCCACGAGAGGGCAATGATGTACCTCCCGTAACGGAGCGGAACATTGCGCGCGATCGGTCTGTCTTGGGGAAATTACGGCACTCACTGAAAGTTAATTGCTGGCCATACTTCACCACCCTTGGGGTCAGTGTTGGTCGGACCGTTTCGGGTAGAGACAGCGAGGCAGGCCCGAGAACGAATTCCAGAGTTTTTGCTGTTGTCGTACCAATGCTGCTTAAATTATGCACTCTCAGAAGGCTAATGCGGCGAATGGGATGTGGAGAGAGAGATATATATTGTCCGCTTATGTATTGAACGACAGGTTGCTTCGAAGTGGTGAACCGGCGCATGGATAGGTGCGGAGAGCACGTGGCAAATGGAGGGCCACTTTTGGAGCGTCAGTGCTCCTAAGTGATTGAGCCATTCAGTTGCGTTGTCTGAGAGTGTGTGAATGTGTTCATTACTCGCGCAGCAGTGAGTCTTTATTTTCCACGTGTGCGTCGAAGGTTTCCCGACCGCCTCTTCCGTCGTTTGTGCTGTGCCGCTTCAGTGCTGCCCCCATTGTGGTCCGTGGACAATGGAAGCCGGTCACCAGTGGTGGTGATGGGCTCGCTGATCAGCTGTGTGTTGTGGAAGCCGGGCACGAGTGTGGTGGTGATGGGCTCGCTGATCAGCTGTGTGTTGTGGAAGCCGGGCACGAGTGTGGTGGTGATGGGCTCGCTGATCAGGGGTGTGTTATGGAAGCCGGGCACGAGTATGGTGGTGAAGTGCTCACTGATCAGCTGTGTGTTGTGGAAGCCGGGCCACTAGTGTGGTGGTGATGATGGACTCACCGATGAAATTCGCCGATGAAATTCGCATCACTCTATATAATACGGGGATGATGGCCCAGGACAGGAGTGAATTCATAAGAGGACCAGGAAAGCAGAGCCCTCGTATGAGTAGGATAAGTGCCAGGAAAAACGGACAGATGCACAGTTTGAACAGACAGATGCATATAGATTAAATCATGCCTTCTAGTTACATTGCAAGTGTAACTGGCCCATTGTAATTGATCAAACACGTTTTCAACGACTTTATAAACCGCAGCCCGTATGCCGTTTTGTTATTGAAGTAAAAAAAAGAAGTTGCTCTCTGCTTACCGCATGCCTTTGGGCTTTATCCTTTTTAAAAAATCGATACAGATTACTTATCCAATGACTCACTCATTCACAGTCACTATAACAGTACTGTACAGGGTGATCCATTGACAGATACCTGTCAATGGATCCACTAAAAGGTTGGGGCGAAAATATAAACGAAGCAAAATTGTGTTTACTACGGCATTTCAAAGCCTATCCACGTCTTCCACATCTCAATACATCTGTTGCATTCATCATTTTAACACTCTCATGTTAAGATGCAGGAGCCACCGCTGTTTTCATAATACTGTATTCAATGATGATTATGATGATTTCGTATGGCCAAAGAAACGAATGCGATTCAATCAGCTCTCGGTAGGAATGAGATCTGTAAAGAGCGTCATTACTTGGTGAGATAAAACATATTTTAGTGTTTTACTGGTAGGAACCTCCTGGTTACACCAGCCTACAGGGGATTATTGTGTCCGTCAGTCGTGCAGGGAGGGGCTGGGTGGGGAGGGAGGGGTTGGGTGGGGAGGGGAGGGTGAGGAGGGGCTGGGTGGGGAGGGGCTGGGTGGGGTGGGGCTGGGTGGGGAGGGTGGGGCTGGGTGGGGGGTGGGGCTGGGTGGGGAGGGGCTGGTCACCCCGTGGTGCCCTTATAAAACTCAACGTTTAACCTACTCACGCCGGCTTGTGCCCGCCCTCACAGTCGGGCATATTTGCGGAATACACCACGCCGTCGTTGACCATGGCCATTGACCGAGCAACCCAACGTTCCTACCAGCTCCCTCCGCAGGAATGTGTTTTGTATTTGTTGTTGTAACGTTTTGACCTGCTCCGACTTGACATCTGTGAAAAAGAGCTTTATAGCTCATCGGATTCTTTCAGTCTAAATAAATACTGTATTCTGATTCTGGATCAACCTCTACAAGGGGTGGAGGGGTGGGTGATTGAGTGAGGAGTGGGGAGTTTGTGCTAATGGGCGGGACGTTTCGGCCGATGGCCCTTCTTCAAGAGAAAGAGAGAGTGAATACGAGTTGAAGGACTGCACAATTGCACTATGGGGCATTACTACGATAATGAGACAAGAATGTCTGTGTGTAACGCGCGTGACGTCACTCCACATGCCGCACCCCCTCCCGCGTCATTAATATTCATGAGCGGGTGGATTTTTACACTCACGCTGAAGAAGGTCGAGCGGAAATATATATTTTTCGCAAATTCGCTTTAAGTTTGACGTTTTTTTTATCGAAAGTGAATCTAATCAATAATTATACGCAGCAACAAAGTGGATTTGGTGTTTTTTTAATTTCTTCAACACTTGACACAAAAGTCTAATTTATGCTTCTACATTATGGTAGAATTTACATTTCTCGATGATTGTCCAGATATTGTATCGATTTCCATTTCATTTCAACCCCAGCGACCGAAAGCAGAAGAGAATAAAGTATCAGAGCAGTGAATTTTAACAAATTGACGGTCAGTTATATACGGCGCTACAGTGAAATGCAGTGAAGTTTTTGATGACATACTTTCGTGCAATAATTCACTGCCATTAAATTTACACACGATACAATTATACTACAGCTTCCATCCTAGGACGGGCAAACAAGCTAGTGTATAATAATTACAATTAAATGTTTCCTGATGACCCATTTTTACATTTCCATATGAATAGTTAACTATTTTAGCTATCGAGTAATAATTACCAACGTATTCGTGAATAAATTCATCTGCATGAAAAGCAGAATGATTAAACGTTTCTGGCACATGTATTGAGTATCGAACTCAATTCTAGATTTGAAGCTTTTGTGATTGCAAGGATTCATATTCTTAGATTTTTTTCCGGTAAAGTCACGTAGGTAAAAAAATAATAAAAGTAAAGTAAAATAAAAATAAAAGAAAAATCACGACGTTTCGGAGGCAACACAAGCTTCCGTCTTCAGGTGGAACCGTCACAGGACGCTTGCTGTATCAAGTAAATGAGCAAGCGTGCTGTGACGGTTCCACCTGAAGACGGAAGCTTGTGTTGCCTCCGAAACGTCGTGATTTTTATTTTATTTTAATTTTATTAATTTTTTGCCTACGTGACTTTACCGAAAAAACCTAAGAATATGTATCGAACTCAAGTTAGGGGCTCGGATGTGGAGCGGGTGGGGTTCAGATTGTGCTGGGCGGAGCTTGGGCACTAATGGGGTGGGACTTTGATGGAGATGGGCGGAGGCTTCACAGCGAGAGGGCGGGGCAAGGGTCGAGCATTGAGGGCGGGGGGATAGGGGGTGGGGGTGTGGGGATAGGGGGTGGGGGTGGGGGTGTGGGGGTAGGGGGTGGGGGCTTGGGCGGAGGAAGCTGGGGTGTGGTCTAGGGGGCGGGGCTTTGGCGTAGTGGGCGGGGGGTTGAGCGTAGGGGCGGGGATTGGGGTGTAGGCGGCGGCGGTGTTGGTATTGGGGGAGGGGTTTGGGCGTAGAGGGCGGGGGTGTGGTCTAGGGGGCGGGGGGTTAGGCGGAGGGGGTTTGGGTCTAGGGGGTGGGGCTTGTGCATGGGGGGAGCTTGTGCGCGGGGGGGGCGGGGCTTGTGCATGGGGGGAGCTTGTGCGCGGGGGGGGCGGGGCTTGTGCATGGGGGGAGCTTGTGCGCGGGGGGGGCGGGGCTTGTGCATGGGGGGGGCTTGTGCACGGGGGGGGCGGGGCTTGTGCATGGGGGGGGCTTGTGCACGGGGGGGGGCGGGGCTTGTGCGTGGGGGGGCGGGGATTCTGCATGGGGGGGGGCTTGTGAATGGGGGCGGGGCTTGTGCATGGGGGGGGGGGCGGGGCTTGTGCGTGGGGGGGCGGGGCTTGTGCGTGGGGGGGGGCGGGGCTTGTGAATGGGAGGGGGCGGGGCTTGTGCACGGGGGGGGGGCGGGGCTTGTGCACGGGGGGGCGGGGATTGTGAATGGGGGGCGGGGCTTGTGCATGGGGGGCGGGGCTTGTGCATGGGGGGCGGGGCTTGTGCATGGGGGGGCGGGGCTTGTGCACGGGGGGGGGCGGGGATTGTGAATGGGGGGCGGGGCTTGTGAATGGGAGGGGGCGGGGCTTGTGCATGGGGGGGCGGGGCTTGTGCGTGGGGGGGCGGGGATTGTGCACGGGGGGGCGGGGATTGTGAATAGGGGGCGGGACTTGTGAATGGGAGGGGGCGGGGCTTGTGAATGGGAGGGGGCGGGGCTTGTGCATGGGGGGGCGGGGCTTGTGCGTGGGGGGGCGGGGCTTGTGCACGGGGGGGGCGGGGATTGTGAATGGGGGGCGGGGCTTGTGAATGGGAGGGGGCGGGGCTTGTGCATGGGGGGGGGGGGCTTGTGAATGTGGGCGGGGGCTTGTGCGCACCCGTGCCCCTCTGCACCGGGGAGCGGGAAGGCCTCTCGCCGTTTCCGCCGAGGTTCCGCGCTACCTCGGCAGCCCCAGTCTCTCGGTCCCCGCTTCGGATCGTTTTGCTTGGCCCATCTCCCTCGCTGCCTCGCCCTCACACGCGGCTGTACAATACAGAAGGAATAGGCGCGGGGTACCACCTTGAAGCAGTCTGACAGAGGCCGGGGTTTCTATTCAGAAGGCGGGATTTGCGGAGTGATTGGTTACCGGTCCCGCTGGTTCTGGTTGTTGGGACCGGTCCCATTACCACCACCACCACCCCCCTGGGTAGAGAGACATCGTCCCGACAGCCCCGTGCCCGTCTCCCCCTGCAGCTGCAGCCGGTGGCACCATGAGGTAAGCGGGCGGATGGACTTTGTGTTTCTTCTATTGTTGTTGATGATGATGGTTGGTGGTGGTGGGTGGGGGGATGACGATTGCGCGGATGATGGTGGTGTCTGGGGTGATGGTGCTGGTTTGCGAACGATGGTGGTGGCGGTGGGGACGGTTATGTTGGTGGTGCATGGTGTTTATGGTGTTCATGTTGTGGTGGTGCCCGGCTAATGGGTGATGCTTAGGTTGGTGGTCTTGTAAGTTATGATGATGATGGTGGTGGTGGTGGTGATGCTAGAATTTTGGTGGTGCTCGTGGTGGAGCTACTGCTGGTGGAGTTGGTGATGGTGGTGGAGTTGGTGATGGTGGTGGTGATGGTAGAATTATGGTGGTGCTCGTGGTGGTGCTACTGCTGGTGGAGGTGGTGGTAGGGGTGGTGGTGATGGTAGAATTCTGGTGGTGCTACTGCTGGTGGAGGTGGTGGTAGGGGTGGTGGTGATGGTAGAATTCTGGTGGTGCTACTGCTGGTGGAGGTGGTGGTAGGGGTGGTGGTGATGGTGGTAGTGGTGATGGTGGTTGTGGTGGTGCTCGTGGTGGTGGTTGTGGTGGTGCTCGTGGTGGTGGTTGTGGTAGTGGTGATGGTGCATGTTAGTGGTGGGAGTGGTGATGTTGGTGGTCGTGATGGTTTGTAATTACGGGGGTGACGGTGGCAATGATGTGATGTTGGATGGCATTGGCTCGTAGTAATGACATTTGTGCCCATGGTGATTTTCGCGGTGATGAGTGTGACGGTGATCAGGGTTACGAAAGCGATGGTGATGTTCAAGTGGTTCTATTGATGGTGATGTTGACGGCTACCTCGTGTTGGTGTCACACACTGATGTGGGTGACTAATGATGCTGTAAGTGTTGCCACCGATAATGTTGTTGCGCATGTTCATGTAATTCATGTTGATAATTGTTGTTGTGATGGTGGTAAAGGTGTTGGTGATGTTGGACACGTTTTGTGGCAAAACAATGGTGCTAGATTCTGGTGATGTTGGCCTTAGAGAGTGTTGTGGAAAGTGTGTAGTGCAGTGGTCGACGAACTGTGGCTTCCCAACCCAGTGAGTGACCCAAGTTCGTTTCCTGACCACAGCTAACATCGGTTCTGAGCCTCCCATCGATGTGGACTCCGTCTTAAATGTAGTAACATGGTGCAGTGTGTGAATTTGGCACTAGGGGTGACAAAGGCGGTGTCTGGCCGTGCCATACTATCCGTAATAGGTGCCCCCCACTATAACAGCACTTTCCCCAACAGTGTATACTGGGGGGATCTTTGTATGTGATGTCGGTTATTGGAATGTTGATCAGTCGTGGTGAAGGTGCTGCTGTTATTCGTGGTTACGCTCAGATTTGCTGTGGTCGTTGTGTCAATTTGGCTTCCGTGTGAACGGGAGGCTTTTATAACTACGTGTTAAATCCCAGGGTCTACAATGTTGGGGGATGGGTTCATTTTCAGGACCACAGTTTTCGAGTTTAACTCGTACGGTTACTACGGCGAAACGCAACTTTATATGGCCTCCCGATTTAAGAACGAGATGAAGAATTGCGACACGCAAGAAAGGAATCTGCCCTCATACATGAACCCCCGTGTGTACTTGAGTTACGAGACATAGCCTCTCACCTGACTTTTGCAAAAGGACGAGGAAATGAATTGTTGTGGCCGGGCTTCCCTTTGTGCGTGTGTCGTGTGTTCTTTTTTCTTCCCACACGTCGCTGTACAGGTCTAGGAGCTGGTGGGGAGCAAAGTTGACTCATGGCTATCACACTGCACTGTGATCTCCACCCCCCTCCCTACCACTTGTTTGCCCGGAGTGACCTTCTAGGCCCCGTCACCGGGGAGCCTGCGATCTCAAAAAAATGTGTCATCCCTCCTCCTCTGCAGTTTCTCAGCAAGCACACAGAAACAAACGGATACTGGATCACCTTACAAAGCGAAGTCGTTGTGTGTGTGGGGGGGGGGAGAACGTACGTGTATCATTAATAAGTGAAAGCGTTTGTTGTGTCTTCTGCTAAGTGTGACACGTGTCTCACCTGAAGTGACGACGGTGATGATGATGATTATGGGGATATTGTCACAGCCAAACGCGTTACATCAGGTTGAAAGTCGAGAGAGAGCGAGAGAGCGAGAGGGCTTTTAGCCACTGAGGTGTGCAGTGGCGTTGACCGTCAGCTGCCAACTCTTGCCTGAACGTGGCACAGTCCCGTGAACAAATTTGAAATTAATACTTGTGAGGTGTGAAGGCCCCGCTTTTCTTTCGGGTTAATATTCTACCCCCCCCCTTCCCCGCCTATTCTGTCACTTTCCCACGCGTCCCCTCGTTATGAGTTGGCGTCGTTGGCGTCGTTGGCGCCCGTGTGCCTACCCGCGGTTTTTTTTACACTTCGGGTTAAAGTTTAACGAACGGTCGTGAGTTGCCATGAGGGCTCTGGTGGGGGGGAGATGTGAACGGTTCGCGAGCGAGGGCTGCGGACAACGCCCCGTTGCCAGAGTGGCCCTGGCCGCATTCTTTAGGGTGGAAGTAAATGCTCGGCGAAAAGGTGACCCAGAGGCGTTGCGAAAGTTCAGAAGGATGCGCTGTTCTCAAGAGTTGCGTGGCTCGTGAATGAGAGACCGATGCGATACTGGTGGTCGAGATTATGTGATCGGTGGTAGTGCTGGTGATGATAATTCGAGTTTCAAATTTATTTCATTTAACTAGGTGAGATTTGACGAGACAAGAATGCCCCCGGTCACCAAAATGACAAATGCAATGATGTAAAATGAAGGACAGTACAGCAATCAAGCAAATATTAATCGTAAAAAGAATAACGGTGTCGCGTAAGGTTATTGAAAATATTGCACGAACATAACTTGGTGTTAAGTTATAAATTCCCTCAGACGCAAGCCGGCTTGGTCAGCTTATTTTTAGGCTGATCAGAGTAAAATAACTTTTAAGTTAAAACTTCTACGTAAACGGACACGCATAAGTGTCTGATGCTGTAGAATTCTAACCACTGTGGACCATGGGAAGAGTTTGCATGGCAGAGCTGCTCTGTTGAGGAGCAATTTAGTGGTGCCCTTGCAAAGGGTTTTAAAACCTGTGCTCCAGATTCAATGTGGGAGAGATTGTCTGAGTTTATCCTCGGTGACCCCCCCCCCCCCCATCAAACACAATCACCTCTCCTCTTCAACCTCCCCTGAGGCCAGGTGTGTTTGCTCATGATAATGAGTCTGTCCCACATGTTGTTTTGATTACCCCACCCCTTGGTAAATTGCCCGCAATTACATTTACTGCACAGATACTAGATTAACATTAACTTTGTTATTCTTCTCCACTGGACACGTGTGTGTAACATAAAGTCGAAATTATGTTTCTCTTCTTTGATATTGCCTCTTTTCCTTCTCCAGGATTTGCGTGTCCTCTCCAGCGTAACACGCCTGCTGCATGGTAAATGTAACAGGCCAGGTCCTCCACTGTTGGCCCTGCTGGTAAATCATGTTAAATATGTGGAGGTCAATTCACTTGTAAACCCGCATGTCATTCCATCGTAATGCCACTTGCGCCCCCACCCATCCCGGCTACAAAAAAGACCACCCCCCCCCCCCCACCGCAGGTTAGTGTGGTTGAAATTCGTATTTCCATCTCTTCCACGAGGATTTTTTTTCCAGGGTAAAACGGCATCCTCGACAACTTTTAACAGATTTAAAGCTTTCGTGACTGCAGGGATTCATCTTCTTGTTTTTTTTTGATATGCACATTCTTTTGTTAAGGCGCTCTTCTTCCACCTCCAACCCAACTTATATATAAGCTCCTAGCTTGGCAGTGTCTCATTCTTCACCTGAAGACGGCTGCTTGCGTTGTAGCCGAAACGTCGTGAGAATTATTTTATTATGTTTTATTTTTATTATTTTATTATTTCCCTTCTACGTGACTTTACCGAAAAAAACCAAGAAGATGAACTTTTAACAGTGCTTAATCCCACCACGTAGGGTTATCACGGTTGTACAGCGCACGCTTTCCCGACGTGTTGTCGGGGTTGTCACTGCGAGTTGCGTGCCCACGATGTTGCACTTCCTCGAATCTGGGAACTTCTTCAAGAACTGAGTGAAAATTTGACGTCGTCCCTAAACGACGTGTGGCACAGCTGTAAAGCACATGGGGTGGCGCGTTACCGTTCGCGGCACCACGCTAAAGCGCCGATGAAATACGCGGCGAGTGTCTCTCACCGTGCCCAAAGCAGGATGGGTTTTTTGCTGTGCATGTGGAGTGGAGCGCCTTACTGTATTTGGTCATCCTGCTGCCTTCCCGAAGGGTGCTTTAGCTTTCTCCGGCAAACACTTGAGGCTCTGTCCGTGCGTATCGAGCCCTTGGCGTTTGGCGAGCGCGGCGGCGGCACCGATTGTGTGTTTTTAAGTTTCTTTATTTAATTATAAGTGCCCCCGTGTTCATTTGCACGCCGCTCGCTACAAAGCGTTGCTCGTCACGCCAGGTTTATCGTTGAACGTGGCCGAGTGAGTCGAGGACCTCCTGGGCGCCGACGGGGCGCTGTGGTCAGACACCAGTCAGAGGCAACAACGTCAGTGACGTTTGCGTGGGAGGACAGCTTGTAGGTGCACCTGAGGCCAGCACTTAATTCCTTTACTAAATTCTTTGCGTTGCTCCTTGAGCGGTGACTTGTCAGGTCCCGTCAGGCAGTGTCATCCTCAAAGTGGACTTGATCTGCGGGAATCCGTCTCGGATAACTCGATTGGTTCAGGTGGTGTGCCGACTGGTTGCTTTTTTTATTTTTGGGTTTTGGTTTGACCCAACGACCAAACTGCCCCGAATACACCCGATCCCATTGGGTCTCGGAAGAAAAAAACGCAGCGCCAAGACTTTGGGCCTGGGCTGGTCGACATGCCACACGTAACAGGTGTTATGGGCTCCAGGGCTACACTTTGGGCAGCAGAGGTCCGTCGAGGAAAATAATCCATTGTTGTACCGTACTTGTATGCTAACA